CGGCCCGAACATGAACATTTTTTAGTTTTATGCCTTACCCAAAATATAAAAACACATACAAATACATTTTGATCATTTACTTTAATCATTACTATTGGAATGTGAAGAGACTTTCAACCAGCACAACAAAAAAATGTTTCTGAAGATAATCACCTACTGCACCTTTAAGTAAATAATGACAATTTAGGGTAGAGACTAGCTATACGCACCTAAATAGCTTGTGGCGCCACTGTATAGTGAGGTTACTGAAAGGATTAACTAGTGACTGAGCCATTGTTGAGGCTTGAAGGCATGCAGGTGGTTATCCAAAGACCTGGGCCTTGATTTTACACCATGGAAACTGATAACATTGAGGCTACGCATTCCACACAGCTGGGCACTCGATGAGCACTGAAGGGGGAGATAAGAAGTTTAATGTCTCCATTTGAAATTTTCAGTCTCAGGCGTAGATTTATGGTCATCATAATAATAATAATAATAATAATAATTTTTATTAATATAGCGCCTTTCCAGAGCTCAAGGACACTTTACAAGGAATGCAACAAAAAGATAAACAAACATACATGAGGTCAAATATAACAAACTGGAATTACACAAACAAGACCTAAGAGACATATGAGCAGAGTAGTGGTGGATCAGATTAAGTGGTCAGTTTGGCAGATCAGAAGCGAAGCATTCAGAAAATAAGTGAGTCTTAAGTAAAGATTTGAATCATCATCATCATCAATCATACACTGAGAAAAAAAAAAAAAAAAGATTTCTGAAAAAAGTGTTGCAAACAATTTATATGCTTTGAATTTAAACAACCAAATTAAATGTAGTATTGTTCACCTTAATTTGTTAATTTAAGTTTAGCCCAAATAAATGGTTTACAACCTCTTAACATGAACAAATTTAGTAAATCCAAGGAATCATCTTTGAACATTTTTCAGTGTACATTGACCAACTTTTTTTTTTATAACAGATACTAAATTTAAAATACATGTTTTTTTTTATGTGGAACTGTTTTGCTTCCGGGTATTCACTTTTACAGAATGTAAATATACTTTTAATCCTTTTGATTTGGCTCTCGATGATCCCCAGGGAAAAATTAAGGTGCGAATAAAACACAAACTACACAAACAACACCACTACACAATCAAACTGAACCATGAAAGACCTTCCATCAGCCAAACACAGAGAAGAGCTGTGTCCTCTACAAATCTCCCATCTGGGACAACTGAGGAAGAAAAACAAACCGTCTCTCTCCACCCCAGTAAAACAATAACCTGAGGTTTTGGAAGAAAGTGAGTGAATTCACAGTGAAATCTCAGAATCTTGGTCTTAAATCCCTGGGGTGTCCTAAAATGTACTGCGCTACGCTTAATTCTTTCACGTTGTTTGGCACATTTAGCCTGTACGAGTTAAAACAATGAGGAGCTTTCAAGAAAAGGTAACAGGAAAACAAAGCTTTGCTCAAAACTATGAAGGAAACTAAACCATGCTAGGTTTTTTAACAAAGTACTTCTCTAAGGACGTAAGATGGCAAGAACAGTCTACCTACTGTGATTTTCAACTAATGACCAGTATTATCTGCTTTTGCTAGTCCAAATCCAAGCTCTTTAACAAACCTATGAATATCCATCGACCCCCTCCTAAAAATCCACCTCCATCTAGGACGCCGAGACTGGCAGAATCGCTAACATCTGGATGGCATGTTTAACTGGATATAATACTGCCTTTGTTCTTTTGCCATGGTTGTGATCAGCAGGCTAGCTTTGAAGGACAAGCCAAAATAAGTTATAGAAGTACTGGATGAAGTGTCAGACTGAATAAGTGGTTTATTAATAATCTCTCATCTTAACACATTCAATCAAGCAGTTACCCACTGAAAAGCATACTGATGCAGTAAAAATGTGATTTCTGTTGCACATATAATTCACTGCTATTTACATTATATATAATAACAAATGTAATTTTATGCTTAAACAAAAAAACCAATTGGAAATGAATCTTGAAAATGTCTTTGTTAGTACCAAAAAGTCTAGGCATAGTTCAGCAAATATTAAATTACAGATGAATTTTCTTTTACATGTACTCACTCTTTACTCGTTCCAAACCTTTAAGAGTATCGTTCTTCTGTTGAATACAAAAGAATGCATTCCCAAAAAAAGCCTGTAACTACTGACTTTAATATCAGGCGATTTGTTTTAATTAAAGGTACAGTGGATTTTATATTTACACATTAGTTAAGTGGCTATTTATTATATGCTCCCTTATAGTTTACCATGGTACTTTGAATAATTAGTGTGAAATCACATGTAATACGACTTCAAAACAACATTAGCACTGTTTATTTGACTGTGAACAATGTCGTACTTTGGCCATTTACTGCTAATATGATTTCACTATTCAGATTTGGCAAAGAATATGTTTCTGAAATTATATTATTAAGGAGAAAGTCTGAATGTGTGAAAAAAAAACAACTTTACCTTAATTTAGTTTTTCCTATGGAAGTCGACTGAGGTAAAGTTAGTTTTAAATTTGCACAATTGTTCATTTAACGTTCCCCATGTTATTTGCCTATGCTACTACACAAATATTCGGTCTGAATTAGCATGCAAGTATGACTTGAAAACAACATTTGCACTATTTAAATGACTGAACATTGTCGTACTTTAATAATCATTGGCTGTTAATATGATTTCCCAATTAAGAATTTGCAAATAATACTTTTCTGAAATTATATTATTAAGGAGAAAGTCTGAATGTGCAAATATATGCGAATATTCAAATGGAAGTCGGTGGTTACAGGCTTTCAGCTTTCTTCAAAATATTAATAAAGACGCTCATAAAGGTTTGGAACCAACTAGGTGTGAGTAAAAAGTGAGTAAATGTTCATTTTGGAGTGAATTATCCCTTTAAATGTGGCCAATAAGTTACACAGTATCAAGACAATAACTGGGTCTTCTTACAGTGTCAAATAGTCATGGTCAAAGTAATAAAATTGAAGTAGTCTACTCTCAACTAAGTGTTTTGCTAAAATTGCAAACAAGAAATTTAAATTTTACAAATATTGCAACCAGTGGTGGAAAGAGACCGAGGTAAAGTTGGTTTTATATTATATATATATATATATATATATATATATATATATATATATATATATATATATATACATTCAGACTTTCTCCTTAATAATATATTTTATAAAAGTATTATTTGCAAACTCTAAATAGTGAAGTTATATTAACAGCCAATGACTATCAAAGTACAACAATATTCACAGTCAATTAAACAGCGCTAGTGTTGTTTAAGTCTATATATAAACCCTATATTCAAATTAGCGTAGTAGATAATATAGGAAACGTTACATGAAGGAATGTGCGAATACAAAACCAACTTTACCTCAATTGGAAAAAGTACTGAAAAATCATACTCAAGTAAAACTACCATTATTTGCCCAAAAATGTAGTGCAACTAGAGTAACAGTATCTGTTGTTAATATTACTCAAAGTATAAGTAAAAAGTAGCCCTTTTAAAAGTACTCAAGTGTAGTGAGTTTTACACTGTGAATGCATTTACATGTAATTTGTGCATGTGTGTGTAAACGTAACATTCTGTAGTGAATTTAGTTATTGTTTAAGGCCATTTAGCTATGTTTTTAGTCATCCTCATACATACATCCTTCATCTTCTCAACAGTGTCTAAACCGTCTCTGAGACGGTGTGTGTAGACATTTTGGACATCTTCTTGTCACTTTTAATGCTTCCAAACACTTTGTTGCACTTATAAAGTGCCTATGTCTTGAGGTTGTTACTTCCAATCACAGGACTGATTTTTCCACTTCCAATCCCAGTAGACAAGACAAAAATAAAGTAGTGACTGTAGGTTGAAGAAAAATAGTGGAGTAAAAGTATCGATACAGCACAAAAAATGTATTCAAGGGTAAGTAAAAGTACACATTTTTTACAAAAAAGTACACACAACTCCTTAGTAAATTATAATTCATGAGGAAAAACTACTGTTACAGTAATTTGAGTATTTGTAATTTGTTACTTTACACCACTGACTGCAATACTAACCTATAAAGAAAATACAAGATATAGCTAAAAATCCACTTTGTTCACATATAAAATGCAACTCAAAAGATTCCCATTTATTTAGTTATTGCAGGCATTTTCTTATAGTCTGAATTCGGATCTCATGGCTAAACACGTTGTTTGATGTTAATGCGATTTTAGTGTTTACTTTTATACGTTTACCAAAGTATTTACGACCCTTGACATTATTCAATGATGTTGTTTCTCAGGTAAACTATTAATGTTATATTGTGACACTGGATATAAGTAACAGTATCTGTTGTTAATATTACTCAAAGTATGAGTAAAAAGTAGCCCTTTTAAAAGTACTTAAGAGTAGTGAGTTTTACGCTGTGAATGCGTTTACATGTAGTTTGTGCATGTGTGTAAACGTAACATTCTGTAGTGCATTTAGTTACTGTTTAAGGCCATTTAGCCATGTTTTTTCAGTAATCATACAGTAAACATCCTTCATCTTCTCATCAGTGTCTAAACAGTCTCCGAGACAGTGTTTGTAGACATCTTCTTTGACTTTTAATGCTTCCAAACATTTTGCTGCACTTATAAAGTGCCCATGTCTTGAGGTTGTTACTTTCAATGTGTGATTTGATTGGACGGGAATCACAGGACTGATTTTTTTCACTTCCAATCCCCATAGAAAAAAAATAAAAAAAAATAAAGTAGTGACTGTAGATTGAAGAAAAATAATTCGGATCTCATAGCTAAACACGTTGTTTTATATTAATACAATTTCAGTGTTTACTTTTATACGTTTACCAAAGTATTTACGACCCTTGACATTAATCAATGATGTTGTTACTCAGGAAAACGAATAATGTAATATTGTGATGCTGAATATGCACAGATAGACATGGCACAGATTTACTTTTTCCATGCAGATTCATTATCAATTATTCGCCATGCAAGATCTGCACTTACCTTTAAGCCTAAATGTAGAAAAACATTCCTCCACTTTATATCCGAGGCGATGTTGCGTTGACCAAAGTTTGTGCACTAAATTAAAAGGACACTAAAGCGTTCAGGGCTATTTTTCTCCCGTGTAAACTCTTACTACAAATCTCAGGCTGTTCTATGGAAACTACCTGCTCTTATATTAGTCTTTTTTTACATCGCCGAAGTAAGAGAAAATCAGAGTTGCATCCGTTGGGATCACCGCCCCACAGGAAAAAGTTACACGCTGCGCTGCAGTCGATCCATCCGAGCTAGAGTTTGGAAAATACGACCATATGATCTCACTCGCTGTGCTCCGTTAAGTCCCGCCTTCAACTGATCATTATCCGGTTTTATTGGTGCAGCTTTTGAAGGGGCTCTAAACCGTCCAATCAAAACGAGTTTCTGACAGGCTGTTATTGGTCCATCTTGTCACAGGAGTGCTACGAGACGAGAGTAGGTGACAGTTTTTGTTCCTCTAGAGGGCGCTTCATGGCTCAAGAAACCTCTATGGGTGCCCAAACCTTTTCATATGAAAGGCCAAAAACCAAATATCATTGATAGCCGTGGGCCGATAATATACACACCTACCGCTTTTGTAATAATATATTTTTTGTGCAACAATTATTCAATACTTAAGGCTTTTTACTTGTGGTGTAAACAGGGGTGTCCAAACTCGGTCCTGGAGAGTTAAGCTCCAACCCTAATTAAACACACCTGAACAGCCAATTTAAGCACTTACTAGATACACTAGAAACTTCCTGGCAGGTGTGTTGAAGCAAGTTGGAGCTAAACTCTCCAGGACACCGGCCCCCAGGACCGAGCTTGGACACCCCTAGTGTAAAGTAACTAATTACAAATACACAAACGACTGTAATTGAGTAGTTTTTCCTCAAAAAAATTATTTATTTCACAAATGCAAATTCTCAAATATAAATCTGCCTTTGTGGTCTTTATTGAAGATATGGAGAATTATATATATATATATATATATATATATATATATATATATATATATATATACACACACACACACACATATATACATATACATACATACATACTTACACATATATATTAATTATACGTTTGTCAATGAAATAAATTAGTTGTATGCTGAATTGTACACCCTATCGAAAATGTAATATTAATTTGCTTAAGAGCTTATTGGAAAATAAATCAATTGAATTTGTATGATAAATACAGCATGAACTTATACATTGTGTATACACTTAATGTGTGATGATAACTTTTTAAAATATTTTTTAAAAATGTGTGGTGATGGAAGTGACAGTGGTGGAAATGACATTTCAACAGTTTATTGTGAAACAAATTAAAAATAGCTTCACCGATTAGCTTTGAATTGATACTAGCCTTTCATGTATGCGAAACACTCTTATTTACCTTCATTTTGTTTGGTTTTTAAAACATCTTGAATGTACAACATGTTTGGAAATGACATAGAATAAGTGTATTTCCTTATCAAGCAATGTTTACCTTGATTTTTCTTCAAGTGTTGTTGATAATTTTAATTTCCCTCCATCTTGAAGATGTCACTATTTATGGTCATAGAAACCACCTCAATAATCTTTCACACAAACTATTTAAAGCGATATCACAGTGTTGTGCTGGAAAGCCACTGAAACTGTGCGGCAGCTATATTTTGTATAAAAATAATATAAATAATAGTCTCACATCAATAACTATAAAACATTTTAATTATTTCACTAGTGCATAATTAAGATACACAAATACCAGATGAATAATATTTTAAAATGTTAATTTAGTTGTCTCTGAGTGTGCAACAAGGTGAAAGCAGTGGTTTTGACAATTAAAAGGAGGTTGAATAATATAAAAAATATATAATAGAAAAGCTGGTAAAATTTTTTAATTAGGTTTTATTGTTAGTTTGACAAAGAAAGAGGAATTTGAACAAAATTATATATATAATTATGGATATATGATCAAAGGACATAAAAGTGCCGGTATTTGATTTACCCTAATACTCCAGTCTACAAAAAGACTGATCAAATCCTTCCAACTTTTTGTTTATGGCAGCAAAAACAGACAGCTTTTTTATTAATTTTTTTATATATATACATCGTTACCTTAGTATTATAAGGTTCTATCTGACATTTTTGTCAAAATTAAGTCATTCACATATTCTTATTAAATGACATTTTATTTACATTAAGACTTTTTATAAAAAAAAACAACTTTATAATGTAACAACATAGTATTTACATGATATACTGTAATTACGTAATTAAAATGTGATAATGCAATTACAATATTATTAAATAGTAATTGTAATGTTATAACAATATAATTACAATGTTATTACATAGTAACTACAATGTAATGACAGTAATTACATTGTATTACTATGTATTTACATTATAATTATAATGTTATAATAGTTGTAAAAAGAAGTTGTAACTATGTAATAACATTTTAATTGCATTATTAAAACATGGTATTACAGCAAAGTAATTACATTGTTACAACTATGTAATTACAAAACAAACAAATTAGCACAAATTAGCATGAAACATCTTAAGATTAAAGGCAATAAGGATGTAGGGTACACTGTTTTGGTTTCCTTCTCTTATGTGTAAATGATTTTTTTATATCCTGTGAAAACTATTTGTATGTATTTATTTTAGTTTGTTATTTTATTTGAAATGATGTTACTGATGGTTTGTATAATATTGCTCGTTATGCAATAAAAAAGTGGATGTACTGACCTCTTGTGTTTGTGGCGTTTTTTGTGTTTGCTCTTGTTTTTCCCTTTTGGTGTTGTTGTTTGTTTGTTTTGCTGTCCTCACCTGTCCCATGGGGGTTTAAATGTCATGTGGGATTCTCATTATGAACGTAAAAAAAGTTCCTTGGACAAAGATACAATGAAAAAAACACTTAGATAATATAATAATGTTTCTGTAATGTTTTTTTTTTTGTATTTAAATGAATTATAATTCATTCAAATGTCATGCTAATTTGTGTTTATTTACATTTTTAAATTATGCAAACGTAATTCATATTCATTTTCCTTCAGCTTAGTTTCTATTTCATAGGTTGCAACAGCGGAATGAAACAGCAACTATTCCAGCATATGCTTTACACAGCAGATGCCTCTCCAGTAACAACACATTACTGTGAAACACCCATACTCACACACTCATAGACTACAGCCAATTTAGTTTTTTCAGTTCACCTAGAGCACATGTTTTTGGACTGTGGGGGGAGCACCTGGAGGAAACCCACACCAACACAGGGAGAACATGCAAACTCCACACAGAAATGCCAACTAGACCTGCTGGGACTCAAACTTTAAACATTTAAGTTATCTGAAATAAAACAAAGGAATATGGAGAATAAAATATTATTTACATCACTTGTTTGGCACTGAAGCCAAGTCTGCATTAATAAATGGCATTGCTGCATAACCTTCTTTGATGAAATATTTGACATTTTTGGCTTAAGTCAGTAACTTAGGCAGTAATGCAAAGTATTAAAGAAGTGAATAAATAGCCTAAATGATAAAAAAAAAAAACAAGAGGGACCAAAATCAGTCAATAGGTCTAGTGCCTCACTATGAGATTGAAATCAGTTATGACATCCTGGTGCCAGGCCTGATGCTTGCATATTAGCCTACTATTATAACTTAATACACATATTAATAATAATCTGTAAGAAACCTCACTGAAACATTTCCCCAGTTATTTATTTGCTTGTTGCCATCTTGGGCATTGTGTTTAGGATACAGTGAGAGTTATTTAAGCTGTAAACTAACTTTTATTTCAAACTTATATGAATGTGATTTAATAGTTTTTGAGAATGAGAACTGAATTATAAATTCATTTGTAAACAAATATCAAATATATTAGTGCTGCTTTAGTTTACAAATTTTTAATACTGTTTTTCAACTCCAATTATTTTCTTTTTATGCAGAGTATGACTAGTTTTGATATTTAAAGACTTCTAAAGAGATATTTAAGGAAACTTTAAAAACCTGTAAGATTTAAAAGCTTTAAATAGCTGCCCGAAGTATCGAATATGGATGCCAAGTGAACAGACCTCTCTTAAAAGGGTCAATGGTCAAAGGCGATTGGCTCCTATCAAATACTATGCAAATACACCACTTGTGATTGACAAGTGAAACATCCAATAGGAATCTACATACGCGATGGCGTACGCACGTACACGTTCCGGTTATATTTAGGGCCTATTTAAGCAGCAAGCCAGTCTGCACTAATGCTGCCCTTCGCGCTTGTCAAAAGCCGGTGATCGCATAGTATCGAATATGTTGTAGCACGTTGTCGTGTGTTATTACACTGTAAGTAAAGTGCATTAGTCATCGGTCGTATAACCGTATGCGGACTGGAATCATTGGTGTCGGTTATCGGTCAGTTATCGATCAAGCCCTCCGCCCTGCACCTCTCATTGAAAGGACACCGCTGTGGATTGTTTGGGTCTACAGATGTTTAGTCCATTATAATGCAAGATGCATGCTGATGCTCGGAAGAAGCTGCTCGACTGCGTGTTATTCGTCACTTTAATCGCCTCCACCTACTGAAAATAGCCGTAAACAGCTGAAAATCGTTGATATTTTGGGGTAAGTGATCATTTAGCAGGACGCAACAGTGTGTCCGCCCATATTTATATGGAAAGCACAGCCTCCGAGCGCAGGCCATGTAACGTTAGCACAGAAACAGCATACATTTATCTATTGCATCTTTGATTTCCTGTCAGACAAGTGTTTTAAACACTTTGGAGGGATCGTGTGGGTTTATTTGAGCTTTTGTGTTCGCCTTTTAAATGGATAACAACATTCTAGCAAGGTCATGACAAACACTTGAGTCTTTTCAGACGGAACTTTCAGCAAACCCTGATGTAAAGGAATAGAGAAACTATTTAATACGTATTTATATTTGATCACAAATTATTTTATAAAGGTCAGACTGGTTTCATTTTAGGTTTGTATGCGTATGAGTTTATTATCATAGCACGCCCAAATGGAATTTGGGCCCTGCTGTACAATGGCGCTTTACCATTATTCACAATGAACTTTTCTGTAATTGACTTAATCTAACTTGCTTTAAAATAGCGATTTTTTTGATAATTTAAAATCAAATGTATAAAAGTTTTAAATAAGTCTTGTTGGATCCATCTTCGTTGTAGCTAATCTTTAAAGCGAAAGTTCTTAAAGGTGTTGTTCATTCACTCAAAAATGAAAGTTCTGTCATTCTTTCTTTTGTTGAACACAAAGGACAACAATTCTGATGAATGCTAAGAGAAAATCCATGGGATTTTTGTGCCTAGAATTGTTATCAATGGCTGCTTTTCCCAAAACATTCTTCAGAATGTCGTGTTTTGTGTTCAACAGAAGAAATAGTCAGTGGAAAATGGTGAGGAGTTTTCATTTAGGGAGGGAATCATCCCTTTAAATAAAACAGCTTGAGGTATGAAACATATTTTGGTATTTTTTTTCTATAATTTATTTTTTAACACTGCAAAACTTTTTAAATAATTAACCCATTTAGGCATGGGCTGGTATGAATTTCTGACAGTATAATAATCTTGGATAACAATATTACGGTATTGTGATTACTGCTCTAAATATTCTTTTTCAATGTCTGGGTAAAAAACCTTTTTCTCCTTTAAACACAATATATTTTATTTTTTAAAAGATTTATAATATTTTGGAGCAGCAAACATGTCAAGCTTAATTATTCAAATGCATCATCGACTTCTGCTGTCTTCATTAATTTTAAAAACCCAGATTTCTTTACATCTTGTCATAAAAAAAAGATGTAAATTTAAAAAAAAAAAACGTACACATGCCTTAGGAACAGTATTACAGGACATTTTGGTAGTTTTAAAACCTTGACTTTTCCAAACCGCCGTACACCTTTAAACAATTGTCGTCCCATGCCTAAACCCATTACATTTCTTGTTTTAGTGATGGTGTAATAATCATGTCATTATTTCTTATTAGTTTATTAGAAACAACCAGAAAATGCAGCTTAAAAAGTTTGTCTACTTGTTTAAAAAGCTGTTTATTCACATTTACAGCCAGAAACAGGAAACCCTTTTTTACCAGTTTTCCCTGTTCATATAATAATAAAAACCAAATGAAAGATTTTGAAAATGCCACAGTATAGTTTAACACCCAGTACAGGAATCTTTGAAAATGGTGATGTCATGTGTGTGCGTAGTTCATGTTGGGTAATATGTAGACATGCATGTCAATTTCAAAGGCAAGGCCGAACAAACATCCAAAGCAATTGCTGAGTTTTTTTTCTGGTTAACCAACCTCGCAACTAACAGTGGTGATGCATCACATACATACCACAAAGAGCTAGCATGAATTCCCTACGTACAGGTATTGTTACAGGTATTTTCGCATGCCTGCCAACTCTAATTATTTTAACAATTTTGTCGTATGTATGTACTTCGACCTGATTTGGGGGCTGCATTTCTACAGGTGTTGACTATATTGTGTGAATTGATGGAATTGTGAATACAGAAAAGTAGGTTATTTCATCATAGTATTTCTATTAAATAGCACCTTGTTGGCAATGGTTATATTTTTTCCAGCCTTATTATGGTCCCAAACACACTGCCAATGCGGTCAAATCATGTTTGGAGAGAAAACGGCAGTCATAAAATGGTATGCACTGAGTCCTGACCTAAATATTGTAGAGATTTTATGGAATTCCCTGAAAAGAAAATTTATATTTATATAAAAGCTATAAGAACTCAGCTAAACCAAATATTTCTGTAGTCACGTGACTATATTTGTAATGTAATTACATTTGTATGTAATTTTAAATCAATAGAAGCAGTTAAAACTTCTGTTTATCCGGCAATGCTTGAATAAACTCTGGCTTTTGGATGGAGGTTTAGTTCTGATCATAGAATCGTGCATTGCTGACAAGATGTGCATGACGCCTTAAATCTAAATAACTCCGCAGTGTGCTGGAAAAGCCCTGATGTTACATAGCAAATTATTTGTGGGAAACAGTCCTGAAGTTTGAACAGTTTCAACAATTATACTTTGAGCCAATGGTGGTCACAAAAAAAAAAACAAATCTCAACTTAAATAATTATTTTCATGAGTGTCCATATTTTCTGTATGTATTGTTTTTAAAAATGGACATCCTTTTTAAAACTGGAATAATAAACCGTAAATCTGATTATGGCATGAGACTTTTGCACAGTATGTAATGGCTAGTTCAGACTGCGTGATTTTAGCCCAGATTTTGGCTCGCCGACAGGTTTTGAGAAATCGCCGACAAATGCCTGAAATCACAGGCAAATCGCTGCTCGTGCACATGAGTGACAATCACACAGTATGAACTTTCAAAGACGCGATCTGAGAGAATCGCCGATGAGTCGCCGATGCCTGTGAGATATTTGGCGTGCTAAATATCTGGAGCTGTCGGCGATTCAAATCATGCCGTGTGAATTGAGTTTTGACTGAAAATAACATCAGCGATCGCCTACAGCCAATGAGAGAGCAGCATTCACTTGTGTGTGCGTGTGTGTATACCTGCTGCAGGCCAGCGGGAGAAGTTAAAAGCGCTCTTTTTCGGTTTATTTGGACCCACGAAATAGAGGAAAAACTAGTGGAGGTTTGACAGGACTCAGGAGCAACCGTGTCTGTTTGACGTTTCATACAGAAAGAAATTAGTTTATTATCAACGTTGAGGAGAAATGGCTAATTCCCTTTAAACCCAGGTGAGCAAACATGGACATGTTCTACCCCATTAAAGGCTTCTTTCTCATTAAGTAGTTAATAACAAAAGATATACTACGTGTTTTTGACTGTAAGACGTAGTTTGGATGAAGTTGTCGGCGATTCTTCCTATAGTAAAATCCTGCAATGTGAAAGTCCCTGTCGCGGATCCATCTTGCAGTGTAAACAAAGCAGCGACGAAACGCCAGCCCAGATAGTCATGCAGTGTGAAAACATCTGTGACGCGACTACTTTGAAAATCATGCAGTCTGAACTCGGCATAAATGGAGGCAGAAATAAATAGCTTCAAGTTATTTTACAGCATCTGGAAGAGTGTGTAACGCTTAGTCAATTAAATTCTGTAGTTTCGTTTAGCCTAGACCTTACATTTGAAGCGAACGTCAATCATGGAAGATCTTAAAGTTTATTATTAATAGAAGTATGCTGCAATCGATTGGTTAGGCATATTATATAAATTAAATTACAGCAGTTAAGCAAATCACCTGATGGGGATGTTTTCAAGAGCTCTGCAATACGGCATTCCATAGCCATACATCTTAATGCAGTAGACTGCTTTAAAGGGTCACGAAACACCAAAACACATTTTTTGAGCTGTTGACAGTCGTATATGTGTCCCACACTGCTAAAAACACTATTAGGACACCTATATTTCACTAAAAAGTGTAAATTGGTTGTTTTTGCGTTATTTTAAGCAAATTCGTACTTCCTGCTTGAAACGAATTTTTGAAGCTGCGTCACGGACATGACATAATAGTGTGTATTCCAGCGTGCAGACTGGGCGTCTGTGCCTGAGTGAGTCTTATTACGTCTTACAGTGTGATGCATTAATGCATGAGTAAGGCTTGGGTCAAACCAATCAGCGCACTCTATTGTGCAACTTCATTAATATTCATTACTATCACCGTGTTTTCAGGACAGAGAAGCCACGTTGTGTTGGCAAAACAAGCGTGAAGTGTTGCTTTTATAGTTTGCTGCAGTTAAGTTTCGTTTTCATTTTCTCTCTGTGAGAGCTCAGACTCACGTGTGGATTACAGTGTACGCGACGCGCGACAACAATAACTTACGTGTCTAAGGAGGATTATTGTTTACCTGAGAGCTGTTCTCATCTGCAAACACTGGGATCTGAAATCGTTTGTAGCATTCTCTTCATAAAGACGCGGCTCTAGTTGCTGGTGATTGTCCTGTCTCTACAGATTTGGTAAGTGAGCGACCAGTGCTCTTTGTTTATTCAGTTTGTTCGTATCTAACAAACTATTGCACAGAGTGTAAACACGTTAGCACCACAACCAAACTTTAACCTCGTGTAGGGTTTTTACCGCATTTTGTGACCGGAATAACACGCGCGGCTTTCTGACACTACCTGTCGTGTGCATCTAAGTTTCCGGGAAATGCAGAGTTTTTTTTTCTCTCATTCGCTTAGAGCAGTTCCTCGAATCAAATATCTCGTGTGTCGCGAGGGGCATGAATGAATTCCCTGAATGAAAGAGCCAAACTGCAGTTAAAGTCCACCATTTAATAATTTGGCTAATAATTCGACTACAGATGTCCATGTAGGTTAAACACCATCACATTCTCCTGTATGTATGTGTGTGTGTGTGTGTGTGTGTGTGTGTGTGTGTGTGTGTGTGTGTGTGTGTGTGTGTGTGTGTATTTTGACTCTGAAACTCGCGCGTGCCCAAATCGACACTCCCACACCCTCCCACTTTAGTTCCTCCGACACTCCCCCCTAAACAGAGCTGGACACGCCCACTTTTCTGACTTTTTCCAAAGAAGAGGTGTGAAAACACCCTGCTGAAACGAGGGGGTTTCATGGCCCTTTAAAGCAAGCAGCTTTACAGTATTGAACATGAAAAGCAGCAAATGAGGATTGCATTCAGTTTAAGCAGCTCTGTTTTGATTTGCGGACGTCTCTTGCTTAAACAGCAATGCAAGTTAAAGAAGACAGAGCCTCAGACCACACCCTCCTATTGTGTAATCTTCACGGACAAATGGCTGTTTAAAGGTGTTCACCAGCCAACATGAGCTTTGCCAAACCGTTCCAAACTTTTGAAATCTTGTTTTGGCCTTTTTTTTTTTTTTTTTGAAATGACAATTAAATATGTTTTAAGCTGAACTGATCTAAAACAATGATGTTTTATATTAAATTGAACCAGTTTTAATTGAACTAACTACAAGTCAAGTAATTGGGGTTAAAGTTGAGTCAACTCAAATGCCCTGAAATTTGTTGCCTTAAAATCTTAAGTCAAACTTTGTTTCGTTTTTACAGTGTAAACCATCATTCAACACTAAAAGAAATTACTTTTTGTAGTCAATTCTAACAAATTTACTTTCTTATTTGGTAAATTGTTATTTTAAGTGTCAAGGATAACTAGAATTTTCTAAGTATATTTGTTCTTTATAGATTTAGTTGATGTAATAAATGAAATAAGTGTAAAGAGAATTAAATATTAATAATCATTTACTTGTAAAATTTAAATATTTTCTAATCATCACAAAACCCAGTAATGTTAAGTAAACTTTAATAATGGATATGTAGTTCCCAGCATGCTTCGCAAGAAATTGAATTAAGTGGAGAATATTTTGAAAAGTTTCTTAGAGGTTTAAAATCTTTGAGAGAGAGAGTTGTTAGAGTTTAACCTTCAGTAGTTTAAAGATTTTAGGGTATTTTTAGAGTTGCCACCTTGCAAAGTAGTAGCAATCATGCTTGGGGTCTTGGCATTTTTATTGTCAGCATTTAATATTTGATGCTTCACTCTGAGAGCCATAGCTGTGCTAACACTACCTCTGTGATCAGTAAGACTTTGCTCTTGGGTTCAATTAGCATGAAGTAATATAACGCATTTTAAGTGGAAATGTGTGTCTTAAACCAACTCACACCAAATGTATTTATTTGTAACTAATACGATTTATTTAAATTGATTTAAAAGTGAATTTCCTTCTGCTAAAACAAGAACTTGAGTCCTTGGTTCATTTAAATAAATCTAGACTCAAAAATAAAACAATCAATTGACTTAATTAGGAGTATTAGGTTAAACATTTAGTAAATTTTACATATTGACAAGTTAATTGAACCTGATATAAGATAGTTTACTTAAAATTGATTGACTTGATTTTTTTTGACAGTAAATCTTAAGAGTTATCTATTTTTTTTTTCAGTGAATTACTGCTCCCCTACTTGCTTTATGCTGGAGTGTTCCCATGATCTGAAATATTATGGCTTATTTTCCTCTGTCATCTGAGCGCAATCTATGCTTTAATACATTTAGAAGAATGTTTAAATGTCAAATTCATAAATCATTCTAGTAAAGCGTTAATTTGCCATTTAGGAAGGGAATGGGACAACTGCATATATAATACATTACATGAAATAAACCTGTAAATAAATGAAAGACACTTAGCAAATTGTAATTTTATGACCAGGCATGATTAAACGATCTATACTAGATGTCGAATTGGATTGTCTAGGTTGACTCATTTGTATTTGCTCAATGGAGAAGACCCACCTAGGTGTCATTACTGCCAGGCTGCTCTTACTATCAAACATATTTTGTTGGAATGTGGAAGTTTAATGAAATAGCCATGAGTTGATGATGTGGTAATAAATGAATAAATAAATTTGCCATTTAGTTAATTAAGAAGTTAGTAATTCCATTATGTTCAATCAGAAACCTCATGTGCATGTTATACAGAGTACTTTATTTGACAAGTTGTCATGCTTAAGTAGAAAACACTTTCGTCTCTGACACTTTGCACTTTCATACTATCACTATGTATCTCTAGAAAAAAAAACATTGGGTAAAGTCTAGATCGGATATGCGGCCGACCGGAAGTGCGATATGCACATTAATAAAGCAGCATTTTTTAAATAACACTGTATAACAATAATTAATATTTTTACAGTACTGTCACTGTGAGGGTTGGGTTTAGGGTTGGGGTAGGCTTTCAAAAATAAATTTTATTGGGTTATTTAATAGATAACATAAGTAATACTCGGTACAACAACTGTTTTACATTACTGTAACGGTTGGGTTTAGGGTTGGGGCAGGGGTAGACGTTAATAAAATAAAACAAATGAGAAAGTTAATAAACAATAGAAATAATTCTCGTTAACTTCCGGCCGCAAACGTATCCGCTCTAGCAACAACCAAAACATTGTGTGTTTCTGAGTGCGCCACACACAGTAGGTTGGCTGTAGAAACACCTTACTCTGTCTTCACACGCCCGACATTTTACATAAACTCCACCTTACAAGGACTAAATAAGGAAAACAAAAAGCTTACCTGTGAATATACCACAAAACATGTTGCGCTACTTGTTTTCTTCAACCTCAAAATACCTCTTCTGCACAATATCTTGCACAATATTGTTCTGTCTTTATGTAAATGAACTTGTATAGTCCGTCTTAGGTTGTGTATAGTTTAAATATGTATAGTTAGTACAGTTAGATTGACATTCTGGTATGTTAGTTATGTACAGGTTTAAAATGGATCTTGCGTCTAGTGTTCAAATTTATGAAGCACCGTGGAGACGCCACAATTCGTTCCACTATGTCCACACATTTAGTAGAATGACATCTCAACTTGCTCTTGTTTAGTAGCGTCTTTTTAAATATGTATAATGAACTGCTAATGTTTTGTTTTTTTCCCCTCTTGTAGGTGAAGAATGACCGAATATAAGCTTGTGGTCGTGGGAGCTGGAGGCGTAGGCAAAAGCGCTCTCACCATCCAACTCATCCAGAACCACTTTGTGGACGAATATGACCCAACTATAGAGGTGAGACCAGTGTAGCTGCTACAGTGTCTGGTGCTTTCAAGGCACTCACTTTCTACTGGCACGCGCACACACACAGAGCTGCGAAAGTCACTCCTGTGTGCGAGTATGCAGAAAATGTACTGTTAAACATTGAACAGTGCAATCCGGTTATTCTGGTTTAAAAGAAGGTGGTTTTCTAATCAAATGTACTTTTCTGGCCTTTTACTTTCTTGGCATGGCATGTACCTTCATTAAGATTACATGTTCACATGCCTTTTATTCTTTATTGGTATTTTTGGTATTTTTTTTGTTTCAAAGGCATTTCTTTCTTTCTTTTTTTACTTTAAATCACAAATATATTTTTACCAGAAACAAGGCTGCTTCAGTATATTGAAGTAAAAAGTGTACTGTCTTATAAGGGTGTCACGATTTCGATTTATAATCGAAATCGATCGAAATTTATGCTCAACTTCGATTATCGAATCAAAAAATAGAATCGTCGATGCTGCCACGCCCCCATGTCACGTTAGCTTGGCTTGCCAAGCGGGAAAAAACATGCTTGTTGAAGTGCTTGTTAAACTGCAGACGCAGGAGACCCGTCGACAGAGCTTAAATCCTCTCCTCTTTCAATGAAGTCGCCGGTGTGGAAGTATTTTGGATTTCCAGTTAGTTATGTTGACAACATTCGTGTTGTCGACAAAAAAAAAAAAAAAAACACAGTTTGCAAGCTCTGCTATGTACGTATTACGGTTCATCCTCCGCCCCGCACCCGTTGCAAATCCGCTCGCGAAAAAAACACACTCAGGACCTGTTTACACTAATATGTCTTTGTTTTTAAATGGCATTTTAGAACGACAACGATCCACATCCACACTGGCGTGTAGCATTTCTTATCAGCCCTCCTTCCTCACTACCGTTTTATACAGTATGAATGTGAAAAGTATGAATGGAATTCGGACGTACTACATCCGCCATTTTGTCATGGTCACGCGACCTACCTGCGTCAGTTGCATTGCCTCACTTCCATTCATGAATTCTCTCACGGGGCATTATGGGATAGCGCAGCGTGCATGGGATGCGCACTCCAGAATCTCGCCGGAAATAGTAAGTCATTCGGGTACTTCTCGCATAGCGATTTTCGAATTCTATGAATTTGGACATACTACTCGGCTCACATACTGATTTTAGCATACTATATAGTATGGAAGTATGCGGTTTCAGACGCAGCCCTGGACTTTTCCAAACCGCGGTATACATTGAAAACGATTATCATCCCATGCCTAGTCTGTGTCCATCAGATCCTTCAGAAAATGTGCGTTCTTAGTTTCAAAAGTTGTTGCTGCTATTAATATTATTATCATCATCATCATCAATTTCAAATGGCTCTTTTTTTTTATAAAAAAAAATTCAAGCTTTCATTATTACACAACCGTTATTACTCCATTTTTCCATTTTCTATTCATACTTATGTACATGTGATTTTGCAGGTTTTTTTATTTTTTATAAATTTGCAACAAGTAAAAAAAAAAAAAAAAAAACTTTTCACATTGTCATTATGGGGTATTGAATGTAAAATGTTGAGGGAATAAATTAATTTAATCAATTTTGGAATAAAGCTGTAACAAAAAATGTGGAAAAAGTGAAGCGCTATGAATACTTTCCGGATGCACTGTACATGGCTATATGAGTAGGGTGGGATGTCATTCCTACCAGTCTGTGAGTGTCACTATTCAAAAAGTGCAGCTTTTCACTTATAAATGTCTTTTTGCTCATCGTAAGGATGCACGACTGCTGAGCGGGACTACTTGTGACTACTACTATTAACTTTGGAACTCTGACCAGTGTGACCAGAGTTAACTCGCACATGACTCGTTTTAGCTATTTCGGTCCATTTTAGAAACATTGCAGTGTGAAAGAGAAACAAATCCCTGTTTTAGAACTAAATCAATCCACAGGTGTGAAAACACATTTAGACTCCATAAAAAACCATCAAATAGTACTATTAAAATGATCTTATGACAATATCCCAAATCGCAATATTTATGGCAGAAAAATAAAATACTGCTGTGTCAGATTTCTCTAATATCGCGCCTCTCTAGTTTTCACTATGCAGATGAACTTGTTAGGGCACTCAACATTCATGGTGTCAAGACCAGACCTAAATAAACTAATCGGATGAATATTGTACAAGGATCTATGCTAAATGCGCTTGTTTGTGCATACATGTGATGGTGTTTTTATTCAGCTCAAAGAATATAATTTTGGCTGATGCAGGACTCGTACAGGAAGCAGGTGGTGATTGACGGAGAGACGTGTCTACTGGACATCCTGGACACTGCAGGTCAGGAGGAGTACAGTGCCATGAGGGACCAGTACATGAGGACAGGAGAGGGCTTCCTCTGTGTCTTTGCCATCAATAACACCAAGTCCTTCGAGGACATTCACCACTACAGGTGAGGGTTTGCTAGAAACAGATGGAGTGCAGTCTCGAAACTTTCAGAAACGAGGCTGTGAAAAGTAGAGAACGACAGGGCATAACTATTTTTTTTTTTTTAATGTTTATTTTAAAATCATATTTTTTTAGGGTGTTTTCATCTTTCTTTTAATCAGACAGGTTAGTCGAGACGGGAATACATGGGGAGAAAGAGAGAAAGGGGACATATCAGACTTCAAGCTGGGAATCAAACTTGGGTCACATTGAGCACCCGAAAATGTAGTTAGAAAAAAACCCCAAAAAAAAAACAATCTGAATTGGCCATGGAGACAAAAAAAAAAATCTTAATTAGTGGATGAATTAATCGCAGTAATATTTTTTTGCAGGGAGCAGATAAAGCGAGTAAAGGACTCCGAGGACGTCCCCATGGTTCTGGTGGGGAATAAGTGTGATCTTCAGTCCCACAATGTGGACTCCAAGCAGGCTCAGGATTTAGCACGCAGCTACGGCATCCCATTTATAGAGACCTCAGCAAAGACAAGACAGGTATGGAAAACATTGGTGCTCATTATTAAATTCAAGTGTGTTTGACCAATCATTTAAAAGTAAAACCCTGTTTTGACACTGAAAGTCTTTTTATTTTGACTGAATTAAAGACCACATGAAACCAAAACAACTCTATTTAACGTAATTGGATGCATTTTGTAGTAATTTATCTCCACCTTTGAAACAAGCTGTATGCTGACCTATCTGAGGATGCAAAATTACAGCTAGTCTATATTTAATTTTTCCAAACATAATATTTAATAATATATATTAATTATTAATATTATTTTCCCATAATAATAAATTTTTTTAATGCATATTTAACACTATATGTTGAGTCTTGTGAAGCCTTTCAAGAACATGTCTGGGTCACAATTATAGTGGAAATCAAAGGATGTTAAACTTTACACATGTAAACTTTAAACTACAATCATAAAAACACTGGCCGATTGGAAAATGTGCTTTCAGTCTGCATTTCACTGCTGTTTTAGGTAAAATGATCGCTTATAGGGCAGTATGCTATCAAATTTTTATCAACTATTATTATTATTATTATTATTATTATTATTGACAAATTAAGAATCGATTTGTGTGCAGTTGTTTGCGCATAAACTACGATGGAAACACTTTTACCAGTATTCACATTAAAAAAGGTCATGTGATTTTGTTATAAGAGATTATGTGGTGATAAAAATGTGTGTGAATGGACAAACCAGCAGACTGACCACACTGTATAACATCTGAAATGTTGTTTTGGTCATTCTAAAACGCCAAAACTATTTAATTATTAGTGTTATTATATTAATAATTACCTCCATGATTAAGCGCGTCTGTACTTTGCATCTAATACCTTCAAACGCTACTGCGCGTTCATTGCACGTCAGGATTGCCTTCTGAGGTGAAAGAAATTTATTAGATGAAGAAAAGATTCACGCAACTTCTACCACAGCAAATCTTGTTTTTACTGTGGATATTTGGCGCCAGTTAATCAGGAAGTGACGATTTTGTGACTCGTTAGATGAAAACGCTGCTTTATTCGCACATCTTTTATGCGATAATCCAGTTTTGCGCATAAAGTTAATTCGCAATTTTGAATGGGAACATAGCTACTCTTACATCTGGAAGCATTAAATCGAAATAGATACCAATATCGTTTAATATGGAAAATAATTATCGAAAAATCGCAGTCTTGCTATATCGCCCAGCCCTAGTTTGAGGTGAGCTTGGAGTAAAACAAATTGTAATTTCATGTGCTTGTTACTACAGCCATAGTTAATTGAGAAGCGATGATAACAGCTATCATTATTGTAGAATAATTATCTCCATATCGTTATCGACTGGATAAAACAAATTTAAATTTAAGTAATTCTTTGCATGGCTTATCAATGTACTATTATTTTGCTCCAGCTAAACGTACATTTGGATTACTAGAACCGGCTTTACTGACAGTGCGAATGAAAATCACCTGTATTTAATCACCCAGCCATAAGTGAAACCGTACTTGACTTTTCTGAACCGTATCTCTCCGTGAAAACGAAGTTGTCAGGATTTATTATTCTATGGTGGAAATAAGCTGCTTTTTTGTGGTAATTGTGACCTGGACATGGGTTTTGTTCAACACAATCTCACGGCAATTCGTAACTTTTTTGATTTAGTGGCTAATTCGTATGAATTTGTATGATCTAATTCGTACAATTTAGTACGATTTGCTCATCCTCCAATTACATTGAGTTTAGGGGGTGGGGTTAGGTGCCACGCCTCCTTTTTAAAATCGTACAATTTCTTTCGACTTAAGTCGTATGAATTAGCCACTAAACTGACAAATAATAAAATACTTACGTTTTTTTTTCTACGCGAGATCAGGCTAGTTTTGTTACATTTACACTCCATCCTAAAGTGTTTCAGATTTGTTGATTTTGATGAGAGCTGGCCAGTGCATACACTGCTGCTTCACACTGGGGTTTATGCATGAGTTCATTCTAACAGGCTTTATGAATAATCAATCAGGCTCACGTCACACAACACAACTGATCTGGCTCTGGGTTTGTGCGTGGTCTCTCTTGTGCATTTATTATAATTTGTCTGCGTTTTGATTTTTCTTCACATTCAAAATGAATTGTTTTATGTCAAAGAATGGAGTATGGATTGATTGATCAAGGGTCCAATCACTGTAAATCAGCTGGGGCTATTAATCGGTCATCTTTAAATATGAGGGCAGACACTCATTCCTCTCTCTGCAGTGCTCAAATCACAACTCCTCCTGGTGCTGGGCTGTAATAAAGACTGCTGAATACATTTCTTTTTCTCTGTTTTACACTCAGACACAGTACTGGCATCTTTAACGGGCAGTTTCATATCTGGGTATAAACTGAAATGATAATGTGTTGTTTTTTTTTATTTCAGATTCACTCTCTTTTAATTCTTTGAAGTTGTAATTCATTATGTATATTAATTAATTTATTATTATTATTATTATTATTAATTATTTTTAATATCTATTACCTTCAAATATCTTACCTGAAGTAACCTAAAATTATTTTGGGTAAATTTACACTATATTTAGAATGCAAAAGTATTTTACATAATAATTTATATACACTTATTTTTTCTTACAAAAAAGTAAATAAATACTAATTTTTTAGAGCTGGGAAAAGAATAGCCATTAACCATTAAAATAAAAATTTGCTTTGACATGAGAGAAATGTAAATTATTATTATTATTGTTATTATTATTATTTATATAATAATAACAATAATAATAATAATTTGTTCACACCAGACACAACATGCATGCTATATGCGCGTAAATAGACGCGTGACAATTTTGAGTTTCATTCACGCATCAAGTTTGCTTTATTCGCGCGTCAAATTCACTTCACAATAGACACGGATTTGCAGGGCTTCTGTCTGCCCAGTGACTGTAGCTTCTTAGACTGGATTTTATTGAGATAAAAAGCTGTGCTTTTATGTGCTTTAGGAAGGCTGAAAAACTGTGTATATTCGTTTGGCGCAGATTCCGAGTTCACAAGATCCTTTCAGAGGTAAACCCAGCTCCTCCAGAAACTAAACCTGGATGATGGAGGCTTTCAGCAGTGCTTTAGCCTGAGCCGAGCCCAGTTTGATAAACTGTTGTCCGGTGTTTCCCCCTCTGGACACCAACAACAGGCGCTACGTCATAATCATTCCCCTACAAGAGAGAGCTCTTGATTGGTTTAAGCGGTGTGAATGTCCACTGAAGTAAAACGTGCAAAACACTGATCTCGCGCCACTTTATTCGCACAAATCATGCTGCAGGATGTCTATTCATGTTTGTGCATTGACTTAACATGTAAATCACTCGCACTTGATGCTTTATCCGGTTCTGGTGTGAACGCAGCATTAAAATGTCTTACATTAAAGACTCTATAAATAATATTGACTTGTAGGTCTTAAATCATTTTCAAGGGGTCTTAATTTTTCCATGTAAAGCTACCCAATCAGGACAACACCCATAAAGTCAACATCAATACATCTCAATTTTAACAAAACTCCATTTAACAATACAATTCCCCTCAATAACATTCATAAGTTCTGTATAGTTGGCATGTTTTGACACATTGTTTTTCATGTAATTCGATTTTTATTTATTTATTTTTATTATTTAAGTACTTTATACTTTATTTTTAAGTAAAAATTCTTACGGTTTAGCCATAGTCTTAAATTTGACTTTGTAAATCCTGCAGAAACATTATTATTATTATTATTATTATTATTATTATTATTATTATTATTATTGATGTGTTGTTTTTATTGATATTACTGTTGTTGATTTATTATTATTATTATTATAGATTTTTTTACTATTGATATTATTATTGGTACTATTGTTTGATGATTATTATTATTGATATGTATTATTATTATTATTATTATTATTATTGATAATATGTATTGTTATTACTATATTTGTGTATACATAATTTGTTTTACAATAAAATATGCATATATAAATAAACGCATACTCCAATATGCATGCATATTTATATATACATAATAAATATACATCGTAGGCCCGTCAAACCAAACTTGATTTCAATGCCAACTAATCTATTTTATTTATTTATATATTTATTTGGTATTACAGTGTAATTAAATAGTTTTAAAACACTGCCATTTATAAAAATGGATGGCTAAACCACAAATGTTTTTCTATTTTTTGTTGAAAACAGTGTTGTGTAAATATTCCCTTAAAGTCCAAAGATGCCAACAAACATTGCAATGATTTTTTTTTTTCTAAACCTAATTATGCCAGATTCTTTCTAAATAATTAGGAAGGGAAAATACCAGTGTTAAACATGTATCCGCTCCTGAAAAAGGACATTTCCATTGGATTCTTGAAATCCAGTTTAGACTGTTTTCCCTTCTCTGTAATAACAGCTTTGTGTTGTTCAACACTGAAGAGAGTTGTGTTTTGCACTGCAGAGAGTGGAAGATGCCTTTTATACTCTGGTACGGGAGATCAGGGAATACCGGCTGAGAAAACTCAGTAAAGAAGAAAAGACGACACAATGCATCAAGCTTAAAAAATGTGTTTTGATGTGAGCGGTAAGTTTGCAGTGCTGCCTGTCTGCAGCACAGGTGTTGGGTCCGACGTCTGCTTTATAACACTGCTCAATCTCACACAAACTGACAAAGAAATACTCTGCTCATATTTGAGCATAAAAATGTTGGTGGTGGTATTATTTAATATTAATAATATTTATTAATGGCAATTTATTTTGTTTTACATTTATTTATCAGTGATTTAATAAACCTTCCATGATTTTTGGTAGACTTAAAAACAATCTTGTTCTATTCACTCTGAAGAAATTATTGTTGTTGTTAATTGAATAATTTAAAAGTCTACAATAAATCTATGGAATGAAATACTTGGGAGTAGTTCAAAAAGATTTGCAGGAACAATGCGAATGGTTCTGTTTTTACTATTAAACTGAATTTAATTGATGCACAAAAAGGGTGTTTAAAACAATCTAACAGGAATTTAAATGTTTTGATTTACTTTTCTGTCTGATATCGATAACCGATAAGTCATAATAGTTGGGGGCCAATAACCGATATATTAGCCGATAAATATTTTAAAAGGTTATATTTTTTTGCAGTATACAACTGATTTTGTTTTAAAAACTTTATAAAGGTTTGAACTGATCTTTAAATAGCGTACTCAAAGCAAAAAGAGCAATAATTTTAAAATTGCAAGGTGTTTATATAGACCGATATTCATGATTTCACATAGATCAGCATGCCAAAAATTATTTCCTTTTTTTCGCATAGCAAAATAACATGCAACCTTACTGTTGCATAAAATTAATAGGTTAAATAACAAAATGGGATTTAATTAACAAACAAGTAAAATGAATATATTTTAAATAAAATGTAAGAACTAGGAATGTAACAATTCACCTGACTTACGATTTGATACGATTCACGATACTAATCTCACGATTCATGATTTAACAAAATGATTTGAGACAAACTTAAATTAAAGAGCCCTTTAATTTTTTCTTATAGGCTGCACTTTTTTTCTTTTACAAAATTAAATATTTTCTGCAGTAGCCAAATTAGAATTTTAAAACAAAATCCAAATACAAAGTGAATAATACAAACTAAAAAAAAAACTCTTCAATACAAAAACGTACTGTGCAGCTAAATTCCAAATCAGAAATAAACAATACAAATTTTAGTCTGCCGCCCCACCTCCTGCTGGCCGCTGATATGCAAGTAAAGCGAGATTGCGCCCATAAACACAGCGCCCCCTCTGTTTAAAACATGTATTGCGATTTGTTCAACATTTTTACGGGTTTAAATGGTCACATTTGAACTTATTTAACTGACTAACAGTGAATCCTTACATTCCTAGCTGGTTTCAGTTCAAATGTTATCAAATAAAGTGGATCACTCTAATATACATATGTACAAACATGTAATGTCTGAAAAAGCGTTTTGAGAGGTGCCACGTTACAAGCTCACAAGCTAAGACAGATGGTATGTTGTACTTTAGAAAAGGTTTATGAAGTTTCTGATTGGCTAATTGATAGCATTTGAGTTAATTGGAGGCACAATTGTAGAATAGTGTTCAAAGGAAAACCTCAAACACACTGCTTCCTTTTGTGACAACATGGGAAAATCAACAAGCCAGAATCAACAACAAAGCCAGATTACAATCTGCTAAATTACACTGGGAAAATAAATAATTTCTGGAGACATGTTCTGTGGTCTAATGGAACTAAGATTGAACTGTTCGGCCATAATGACCAGTGTTACATTTGGAGGACAAAAGGGAAAGCTTACAAGCCTAGGAACAACATCCCAACTGTGAAGTATGGGGGCGGCAGCATCATGTTACGGGGCTGTTTTGCTGCAGGAGGGATTGGTCCACTTCACAGCATAGATGGCATCTTAAAGAAAGAACATTATGTAGAAATACTGAAGCAACATCAAGACATCAGCCAGGAAATTAAAACTTGGCCACAAATGGGTCTTCCAAACAGACCATGACCCTAAGCATACTGCCAAATTTGTTAAAATGTGCTTTAAGGACAACAGAGTGAATGTTTTAGAGTGGCCATCACAAAGCCCTGATCTAAATCCTATAAAAAAAATTGGGGGTAGAGTTGAAAAAGCTTGTGCGAGCAGGACAGCCAACAAATCTGACTGGGTTACACCAATTTTGTCTATAGGAATGGGCCAAAATTCCTTTAAACTATTGTGAGAAGCTTGTGGAAGGATACCCAAATCATTTGACCTAAGTTATACAGTTTAAAAGCAAAGCTAAAAATACTAAGGAAATGTTATGTAGACTTTTGACTGTCTAGAAATTAATAAAAAAATTCTCCAAAAAAAAAAAAAATCTATTATTCTGTCATTTAGCAAATGTAAATCATTTAGGTAATCCTAACGGACCTAAAATAGTAAACGTTTAATATGATTTACCATCAAACATTTTTAAAAAATAGTTATGTTCCTTTTTTTTTTTTAATAGTTTATGTGAACTTCTGGTTTCAACTGTATCTACAATAGAAAGAAATAGGGTTACTTAGTTATTAACACACAGCAATACCACACAAAGAAAGGACAGACTTTGACAGAATAAACAATGTGAGGAAAGCTGTTATAGTGCACTGAACAAGTTCGACCCACTCGTGCAAGAGGCAGACAGTTCAAGATCTATCGGCTTAAAGATATCAGCCTAATTTTGATATCAGACCGCTAATAACAATAAAAATAACATTTATCGGCCGATAACTATGTCCGCAGATATATTGTGCATTCCTAGTTTTATAAATATATAAGTGATTTATGCATAAAATATGATCATTTGTTTGTGAGATTCACACGTTTCTTTTCTTTAATTGTATTGCTTACCTTTATTTTACTATTCTTTCAGGAGGAATTTGGTGAACATTTATTTCGTTATTAACTGATCTAGGACCAGTTATAAGTTCCCTGTTTTGACAGTAGCTGAAGCTGGTTATAGATGGGTTTTAAAACTTAAACTTGTGATTCTTTCCATTTCCAGTTTGAAGTCTTCCAATAATCGCCTTATGTTCTTTGTTCTCCCTTTTGTTTTAAAGGGTGTGGACGACGCGTTTTATACTTTAGTCCGAGAAATCCGGAAACACAAGGAGAAGATGAGCAAGGAGGGCAAAAAGAAAAAGAAGAAATCCAAAACAAAATGTGCATTAATGTGAACAAGTCTTTCCTGTCATTACGGACTCAAAAGTACCACAACTGCATTTTGTACATTTACACTAAATTATTCGCCTCTTCAGAATACAGAATGGATCCCTGTTCTACTTGCTTTCTTAAAAGAAAATAAGCTTTACTCGTTCGGTGCCAGTTGCCCCAAAGTGTTGGTCCGTTGACGCCTTGTTTTATGGCTTATGTTAGCAGACGGGCTGTCAGAACTGGGTATATTTTGCAGTTGGTTTGAGTAGTTTTAGCAGATTTCTAAAGAGAAGTGTGGATTTAAAATGGTGTGCAGAGATTAGCTGTTAGACTGCATGCGAGTCACTTGATTTTTGATGGAATTGAAACTTTGAGGAACTATGATTGTTATTTTGTTTTTAATGGACCAACACTTCTTTTGGGGAGATGATTTGATACATTATCACTGTGTATGACCCTGCCTTTGGTTGTCCCAGACTTCCAAAAACGACATGCATGTGAACTTCCATTGTAGTCGGATTAACATGCCCTCTCTATAAAGCCATGGTAGTGTGTGTGTGTGTGTGTGTGTGTATATATGGTGAAATCTTAACCACGTTAACATTATTTCCCCGTTTGCATGCTTTATGTTCTTTAAACTTCCAGGGAACGGTCATGTCTTGAATACTGTTTAATAGCCACTGTTGTGTCGTTGGTCCAGACAGGCGGTATTGTTTAAACATGGCTTTTTTTTCTTTTGATTTAAATTTATGAAGGTTGTTTGGAAGCTCATTTCCACCACTGTATTATTCCTACTTATAAAAACAAATTACAATTCTGAATATTTTGCAATTGCGAGGACGAGTCTCATGTTAATATTTGTAATGGAGTTGCAAAGTCTGTTAACCTTCTCCCTCAACTGCGTCCGTGCATCACAATTACGAGTCACAACTCTGTAGTTAAAAGGTTAGGATTGCAAGAAGTAAACTACTGTGAGTTGCATCAAAGTCCTTTTAATGGGATGGTTCACCCGAAAAATGAACATGCATTCATTACTTAGGCTGCATTTACACTGCACTGTTCAAGTGACTCAATTCCTGAATTTTAATTTATTTTTTCTCCCATGTGGCACAGATCGGATATGGCTCATGTACATAGAAGCAGGAACAAATCACATGGATTCCAATTTACTCAATTCAGATTCAGGCCTTGTTCATATGTGGAAATTTATCCGATATAAATCGGATCGGTGTTCTTGTGTCTGCATTGTAAGCAGGTAGATCAGATTTTCACCTGTCAATGCCAAAGCGAATGACGTCAAGTCTGACACTTAAATTTCATAACAGACTTCAGCAGAGTCCCAAACCTTAAATGTCATACACAAGGACTCAAACAGCTTTTATACTGTCATATAGCACAGGTATTTAAGCATGTTAACGAGAGCAAAATGTCTGGCACGTAACCAATATAAACTAATATAAAACTAGTGCATAGCTACATCACGTGCATAAATCACCGCATGGACATTAGGTAGCCTAAAGGTTTAAAAAAGCCAATATAATCAAAAGAAGATAGACAAATAAAAACCTTTGTCATAAAACAGCTTGTCAAAAGCTGCGAACAGATTAAATACAGGAATAGAGAAAAGAGCGCTCTATTATTATCAGCTGTTAGTCAGCGCCCACTCTTATTTTTTTTCCTGGTCATTGTGCCTTTGACGTGCACTGTGTAAATTCAAACGATCGGATACGAGTCACTTTTATAAGATGCAAGCAGGTCATCAAAAAACGATCCTACGATCAGATACAGTCACAAAATCGGAATTGACCATCAAGATCTGCAGTGTAAATGCAGCCTTACACTCACTCAAGTGCTTTCAAGCCATTATGGGGTTCTTTCTTTCGTTGAACACTAAGTTACTTTGAAAAAAGTTAGAGACCTGTAACCATTGACTTCCACAGTACTTGTTTAACAGGAAAGAAACTCAAACAGGTTTATAACAGACAAGTAAATGATTTTCATTTTTGGGGTAACCATCTCTTGAAGGCAAGTCCTTTCACTCTGTGGCCATCTTTGAAACTCCTTTAATGCTGTGTTCACACCAGATGCTGAACATTAAGTTTACTTTTCATTTGCACATCAAATTCGCTTCATTCGAGCATCAAATTCATTTCACGATAAACGATTTGCTTCTGTCTGCCTGGTGACTTTAGTTTCATTGCTAACATGGATTTTATTGAGGGAGTAGCTGTGTTTGTGCTTTAGGAAGGCTGAAAACAGCGTGTATTCATTTGGCACTATTTGGAGATGCACTTAGCTTTCATAAACTCCTCCAGAAACTATACCTGGATGGAGGCTTTCAGCAGTGCTTCCCACTGTGCCCAGCCCAGTTTAATGAACTGTTGTCCGGTGTCACCGGTATTTCCTCTCGGGACACCAACAAGAAGCACTACTTCTGATTGGTTAATGCAAATGTGAATGTCAGCTGAAGTTCAGAGTTTCCAACTCTAGTGATTTACATGATATGCAAATAAATATCCTGCAGCGCAAAATGATCTACTCATGCCGCTTCATTCCTGCAAATTTCATCATTCGTGCTGCCTCGTTCTCGTGTATTGCGTCGTAGGATGTCTATTCGCTTATTTGCATTGACTTAATGTAAATCACTCATGGTAGACGCTTCATCTGTGTCTGGTGTGAACGCAGCATTAGTCATGCAAGTATTTTATCCCACTGAATGGGGAAACATCAGATTCTCTGGAACAGTTTGCCAAGCTCCGATTTAAATTTCATATTTGGAATCATCAATGACATTTAACACAAACTCTCTTGTAATTTTAGCTTGTAAACATTGTAAAACAAAAAGTGTTTTTTCCTCATTCCTTCGCTAATGCGCAATGCCAATTCGTAACTATGATTTAGTGGCTAATTCATATGAATTTGTATGACCTTATTCATACATTTTAGTACTATTTACTCATCCTCCAATGATGGGTGGGGTTTGGTGTCATGCCTCTTTAAATATCATACATTTTTCGTAAAACTGCACTATTCATACGAATTAGCCACTAAACTGACAAAACATAAAATAGTTATGTCTCCTCATGCAATCAGGCTGGCATGCGCAACCGAACGGAACAAATTCACAACACCACCCTCCTTTTATGGCCATTTCTGAAGGACGTAATCAGACGTAATCCTTTCAATCAAACCATGTTACTTCCATTAGAGTCAACATCTTGCATCTTACACTCCATCCTCTAAATCATGCCGTGTCTGTTTGCGCTGGTCTTCTGAAGTCATTTCCAACTTATTTCTGACTGCAAATCTCCCAAAATCATGGCAATCTCTTTGTTTACAAATTTTGTGAGCGTTCAAGTGGTTGCTGTCATGTGATTTTGCATTTGAATGGTTGAGGCAGGAAAGATGACTGTTTATAAGGCAAGATTCTAGTGTTCGCTGACTCCAGTGGATTCAAAATGAAGCTGCAGAAACTGTCGTGAAAACATGTCTGGACTGTCTATAGCATGGGTCTCAAACTCAATTCCTAGGGGGCCACAGCTCTTAATGGCTGCGTCCAAAGTCGCATACTTCCATACTATATAGTAAGCTTAAAACAGTACGTGAGCATAATAGTAAATTCGGATTCAAAAATCAGTATGTGAGAAGTGATAACCTACTACCAGGTGATGACCCACCACTTCCGGCGAGATTTTGAAGTGAGCGTCGAATGCACGCTACGCTATTCCATGATGCACTGAGAAGTGGAAGTGAAGCGACGCAACTGAAGCTGCGGTCACACTGCACTTTTCTCCACACGCACACGAACGCGTCAGACCACAAACGCACGCTCTAGCAACAAGTTTCGCAATTCGCTGCGTTGGAAAGTTCAAGTTTGGCGAAATCGCATCACATGATTGCGTGATACACTGAAAAAAAGTGTTGGATGCAGAACTGTTGCAAACAATTTGTTTGTTGAATTTAAACAAACAAATTAAGTTTAGTAATGTTCAACTTAATTTGTTTGTTTAAAATCAGCCCAAATAAATTGTTTACCACCTCTTAACATAAAGAAATTAAGTAAATCCAAGGAATCATCTTTGAATAATTTTTTTCAGTGTAGCAATTAAAGATCAAAACATGACCACTGGACAGGATTTTAAACCAGACCAATCGCTTGCTTTTTTAATGTCTAATAATTTAATCCCGCCCCTTCTCGCAGTGACGTATGACAGAATTTCGCAAGTTCAAACTCTAGTGTGACCGCAGCTTCACGCAGGTAGATCATGCCAAAATGGCGGATGTAGTACATCTGAATTCCATTCATGCTACTCTTATTCATACTGTATAGAATGTACTTTTCTAACGGCCGAGTAGTACATTTTAATTTCAAATGCAGTACCTACTGAGCAGTAGGCGTTTTCGGACGCAGCCTTGGTGTTCGAAAGAGTCTCGAACACCTTCATTAGTTGGATCAAAACTGTGCAGAGCTGCGGCCCTCCAGGAATTGAGTTTGAGACCCATACTCTATAGCAGTGGTGTCCAAGTTCAGTCCTGGGAGGCCGGTGTCCTGGAGAGTTTAGTTCCAACCCCAATCAAACACACCCGAACCAGCTAATTAGGCTCTTACTGGATGTTCTAGAAACTTCCTGGCAGGTGTGTTGAAGCAAGCTGGAGCTAAACTTAGCAGGACACCGGCCCTCCAGGACTAAGTTTAGACACCCCTGCTCTATAGTGTTTCATTGGCTCTTTTACTAGAAGGCGGGGCTTCCTTCACTGGAGTGTCCATGTTGACTGTTGCATTTTTTTCTTATTTTAAACTATACAACTGACACGTCTTTTGGTTGCATCTTGCATTTCTGAGAGGGGGAAAAACTATTTATGAATGTAAACCTGGAATAGACGCAAAGAAGACAATTGAGACTTCCGAGGAATGCGTAAAATCTGAATCGTGAGAATTTGTAGTTTATTTATTTTTTGTTGCTATTCTGTATTGGAATAGCAGCTATGTTTCATTTCTTTCCTTTTGTAATGAGATTTTCACCTCTTGGTTGGTTAAGAGAGCATTTGACATAACACCTCTGGCTAAAAACAACAGTAATTTTAACGTTGAGATACTGTACAAAAAAAGTGATTAGGATCGAAGCACAAAAACACATTTGTATTCAGAGAAAAGTCATACTAAAAGATAAAGCTGCTGTTGATCAGTCAGAATCAAGTATTTAGGAAAGCGTTAAATATGATTCCATTTTGGAAGGATCTACACTAGTTAAAGCCTCACTTCTGCTTTCAGAGGTGTGAATTTTTACCCTCTTGTGCTCAGCCAAACAGCGCCTTAGAAGTCTGAATAAACACTTTGATTTATTTTTTTTGCTAAATTTTGATTCACGAGTATAGCCTACCATTGTGATTTTAAAATGTATGTTAATGGAATAAAACAAATGCCTTGTTCCTGCTGCCATCACCTATCAAGTCATTACTCCACCAGTTTGATGTCCAACAGAGCTTTCCTTTTGAACATTTGAATTCCCAAGAGGCTGTCGGAGTCTAGTATACTATGGTAAAACGGGGCAAGAACTAGCTTTCAGTTCTGGAGGGCAAATTTTCAGCCATCACTCAAACCAAAGAGAGTGATGTAAAGATTTTTATTTTGCGTGGCAATACTTGTGATGTCATGAGATGATGTCATGTGTGCAACAAGCAGTACGTTGCTTTAAAACTCCTTCGGTGAGTGGTTTTACCATGGTAGTTTTGTTTTCTGATAATTACTTGCATGCAATTTGACTAATACTGAGGATCTACATGCAAAATAAATCAGGATGTCCGCTCTTATGCAAAGTATTTGTTGTGTGATTTCTGTTCCCTTTAAATCAAGCAGTCTGTAATGGAAGTAGCAAAGTCACTAGGTTTTTTTTTTTTACTTGTTTCTGAAATGTTTTCTGTTTGTGTGCCAAATGCAAATGTTGATAAAACGGTTCACGTGTATATGGACCTTGGTTTAACAACCTTTGCATGGATGTGATGATAAAGATGAATATTTTGTAAATTGTGCTTTTGGTTTAATGAACTGATCGACGCTTAATTGAAATTAAGGGTCACATGTTAACGTCTATGAGAAATTGCTGATCTGAGGTCATCTTTCGCCTTTCATGTGTTGGTAAATGTGATTTTATTAGAATTGAAAAATAAAGCTGTTCTCAGATCTGCACGGTTTTATAAATGCAACCCAGTCTTGTTTTTCCCCATTAATCTCACCAGTCTTATTTAATGTGTAATTAAAAGAAGAACTTAAAACCCAATAATGTCTCTGTGTTTGTGTTTTGGTAATGAGCATTTCGTAAAAATTATAAGTGCTACGCGTAAGAATTTTTCATTCACTGTAAAACCCAAAAAGTTAGGGTAAAAAAACCATTTGAGGAAACCGATTGCAACAAACCATTTGAGTTCAAAAACTAATCCTAATGAGTACTGTGAACTTGATCCATTTGAGTAAAAGAATCAATTTGAGCACAGTAAAACCCAATAAATGAAGAGAACTTATGAAGAGAATTTATCAGCCGATTTGACAGTTTTGGTGCCGTTGTCCCGTTTTTTTTCAGTGTCTGCGGGGTCTTAAAATGTCTTAAGTTACAAAAACAAAAAAGGCCTTAAAAAGTCTTAAATTCACTGAAGTAGCGTTGTAGGTCTTAAAACATTTTAAACCGGTCTTATTTTTCACCTATGTTGAAAAATCTACTTTTCAAGCTGTTTGGACAGACATGTGTGTATATATAGTGTATAGACCGTCATATTGGGGTGATATAAACACACCCAGTCCTTTTTTTTTTTTTTTTCCAATTTAACAACATAAAAACGGTGGACCAATTGGAACGGTTTTTAGATCGACCGCAACTTGACGTAGGAGTGCGGTCCCCCCGTCCACCGAATTGATTGACAGCTGCGCGCATTAACATTTCCCAGTAATCACCTGTATAATCATGTCAACAAGACCAGACGTGCGCAAAGCAACCGGGAATAAAAGGTCTGTTCGGTTCGCCAGGATCAGCAATCATCATCAAATGTGATCAAGAGTAAGTTTGACATGTTTAAATTGTTTTAAAACAGTGCACGTGTGTAAAAAAATACAGCGATTTACTTCAGCTTTACTTTATCAGCACAGCCGCATGTCAGAACAATTATAATGTTCAGTTTGTGGACGTTAAATCGGGTTTATTTTGTACATAAACATAACAGATATTTATACAGCAGTGGAGATTAAGCTGTATCCTGTCACATATGCGTTTAAAAACAGTGCAAAGCTAAGCGCGCTTTGTCTGTCTGTGTGTGCACGTGTGAACTTTGTAACAATATTGTGTGACTCAATGCAACTGCACAACAAATACTCATTGGTAAAGTTCTTACTGTAGTATTTCTCACAAACGCAACGTGAGACCTGCTTCCTTTAAGTCTGTCTGTTGTCTGACGAAGCCAAGGGAGGAGATTAAGGCACGCAGAAAGGCACTTAGAAACGGTAGGCGGGGAGGACTCGCCTTAAAGGCGCAGTATGACAAACAACCCCCTGGTGGAAAAATGTATACAATATGATCTTGTAAAAGGTATAATGAAAAATCAGATGGGGGTTTTGAGCTGAAACTTTACATAGACATTCTAGAGACGCAAAACACTCCTATTAAATCTGAAAAAAAGGGGTAACCTTGGTGCCCTTTAATAATCATCTGTCCAAGTAAAGCTACCCAATCAGTACAACATCCATCCAACCACAGTCATTATATGTGAGCCGTATCATACAAGCAGCAGATCCCACTCAATGGCTGGATATCAGCACTGGTGGGAGGCGTGCATTGGCACGAGGTTTGAAGCTCCTTAGTGTCCCAACAGTGCAAGAAATATATTTTTAACAATGTTAAACTTGTAATAAAAAAAATAAACATTATGTTGAAAAAAGTATATACAAGTAGAGTTTTCTTGTTTTGACACATTTAAATGTGGCAAGAAACAACTAAATCTGATTTTTTTTTTTTTTTTTTTTTTTTTTTTTTGCTGTTGTGGGAAAACAAACAACAACCGACCATTAGAAAAAATCTTTGGTGTTTAGCTCTGTATAAGTCTAAAATGTCATTCATGATGGTCTTAAAAGGGTCTTAAAAAGTCTTTGACTTGACCTGCAGAAACTCTGTGTTTGTAATTGATATAGGCTATTAATATTGCCTAACATATTTAAATTTGCTGTAACTTTAACAGCCTAAACAAGTGATGAATAAACAAGCTTTTTTTATTATTATTATTAAAAATAAGGCCCTAGCCAGCCTGGTGATTAGGGGTGTTTCTTTTTTTCTCAAAAAGTGGACTTGCAGTTATTCAACTCATTTTATATTTACTTATGAGGTTTAAATACTGTTTTAGTGACATTAAGCATTTTCTTTCGTTTGCTAGATTAGTTTGTTAGACAGTCACATTTTCTGAAGTACCAAAAACACTTAGAATAATGAAATATTATTAATAGGCTACTTATTTTTAAAACACAAATTCAATACATCACATATCACTAGGGGGAAAATAGAAATCTGTCAAAGTTTTCAATTAAACACTGTGGCCTATTGTCAGTTATTAAATAACAAACTGACTAGCACGTTCAACTTTCCCCGATCAGAATTTGTGCATTTGAATAAGAAAAAATAATGACAATAACGTAGAGCTTCACGATTTTTCTCGCCTCCGTTGTAAAAAGTACATTTGAAAGTTTATGGATAACATCAATAGCCTAATCAGTATTAAAAGTAACTTTAATATGGGATGCCCTGGTGGTTCACAACATTTGATTGGTCATCTTTTTGTTTCAAGATTAAGGTCCAATATTTAAATAAGAGTTACTTGTGAAATGTTTTCTCTATTTAACAACAATACAGTGATAGTTGACTTACAGTACTTGCAGGACTTAGGGGAGACCGGGTATAGTTGAAACACAGGGAGAGTTGTACTAATTCCAGGAATCAGGGATAAGATAACGGTCATGTGACATTTTCAGTTTCCTCAGGTTTCTTAATCACACATGGAGATTTTCCAGTCAGTCTTGCAATCTCTCCAGAAGCTACAACAGAAAATTGATTTCTGAGATAAAAAAAAAAAAATAATAATAATAATAAAAATAAGGTAATATTTAGTTTAGTACCTCTACCATTGTAGATGATGTTAAATATAAGTTATATTGTGTCAAACCATAGTTTCACTAGTAAAGAATGGTATATCGACCTCCTTGCTAATTTCAAAGCACCAGGCTAATACAGCTAAACAACGGGTGACAGTAGCAGGGTAGGTTGAAACACGTTTTTGAAAGTATGCACACTTACAGAAACGTATGAAAGTGCACGTACAAGCACAAACAGTCATCTTCGATTTATAAAGTTCTATCTGACATTTTTGTCAAAGCTGAGTTATTCACACACAGTATTCTTTTAAAATGACAACTTCTTTACATGATGTGTTTTTTTTAAATAAATAAATTGTTTACATTAGGACTTTATTAAAAAAAAAACAAAAGCTTTATCTAAAAAGTCAAGCTCTAGCTTGCCTCTATAACGTTCTTTCTGTGAGCCGATCAGCATTTCAAATGCACGAATGAGGACCAATCAGGATCAGCTTTCTTTGTCATTTGACAGCTGAAAAGATCAGAACGAAACACAAAATCAGAAGTGACTAAAAATGCTACAACACATAAAATTGAGAAGAAACCTGAAACTGAAAAGGTGTGTGTAAATCTGATAATTTAGAAGCATGTTTGACATTGAGATGAAATGTTATATTTTCCATAGTTGAAAAAGCAACAGGAACTAAAAAAATACATTAAATGTGAAATATTTTTATTTATGTTTATATAGTCAGTGAAACATTTTTTTAGGGTTTGTTAAACATATTTGCTCATTGTCAGTTTTCTATTAAAGTCTTTAAATTGGATATTAAGCCTTTAAGGGCAAATACTTAATTTAATTAATGGGGCAAATAATTCATTCATTTATTCATTTTCTTGTCGGCTTAGTCTCTTTATTAATCCGGGGTCGCCACAGCGGAATGAACCGCCAACTTATCCAGCAAGTTTTTACGCAGCGGCTGCCCTTCCAGCCGAAACCCATCTTGGGGAAACATCCACACACACATTCACACACACACACTCATACACTACGGACAATTTAGCCTACCCAATTCACCTGTACCACATGTCTTTGGACTGTGGGGGAAACCGGAGCACCCGGAGGAAACCCACGCGAAGGCAGGGAGAACATGCAAACTCCACACAAAAAACGCCAACTGAGCCGATGTTCGAACCAGCGACCCAGCGACCTTCTAGCTGTGAGGCGACAGCACTACCTACTGCGCCACTGCTTCGCCGCAAATAATTCAATAAATATAATTCAATGGTTGATACACTCTCAGAAATAAAGGTACAAGAGCTGTTACTGGGGCAGTACCTTTTCAGAAGGTGCATATTTGTACCCAAAGAGTCCTTGGTGGCACCTCAAAGGTATATGTCAGTACCCAAATGTACCTAAACTGTACCTTTGAGGTACCAATATGGACTCTTCAGATACAAATATTTACCTTCTGAAAAAGTACTGCCCCAGTGACAGCTCTTGTACCTTTATTTTTGAGAGCGTATAAAGCATAAAAGTCAATATTACAATATTAATTACATAAAATTAACATTTGCACTGGACTAAAATATTTAGCACTGTATTGTATGCTTAATTTAAAGAGAAATAAAAATTTTTTTTTTAAATTTATTTGTTGAAAAGTAACGCTTCAGTTAATGATCTGCCAGATAGAACCTTATAATTCCAAGCAAAAAATGGCTTTTTAGAATTAGAATCTGCATTTTGCCCTGTTTGTTTTACCACAACTTGCGAACTTAAGAGCATTTTCATGATTTACATTTAGAGCAAATTTAGCATCTCTGCCATGTCAATGTATAAAAGAAAACTGTTATGCACATATTGGTTGCTATATAGAATACAAAAACTTTGAAGCTCAATATCTTAAAAATCACAGATAGAACCTTATAATTTTAAGGTGACGAAACAAACACACAATATGCACAATGCACATACACTTAAAATATTCACATATATTGTTGCAGTCATTTATTTACAATAACACTGTTGTTGTGGCATATCACAGTTGTTGTGCATTTTATCTACCTTTTACAACATACCCCAGTATGTTACAACCTACCCCAGTAGTGGCGTAACAAATGACCACTTTGTATTTGTCATCATCTCACAAAGTCTGTGATATACATTTATTCGTT